GTGGTCTAATCCTCAGCTTGACCAGTCCTCTTCATTATTTATCCATTTCTCTCGTTTCTTTTCCATACCAACAGAGGGCAACCCGGTTGGTCTCCATCCAAATTCTAGATCATCAAGTGCTCAAACAGGAGGCCACCCTGCGGGCTACCATCAAATCTAGATATCAGGTGCGCAACAACCCAAGAAGCCCATCCTGTGAATTTCCATATATTTTATATATCAGGGTGCACAAGGGGGCGCGATCTCCCATTTTCCCCGGCCGACGGTCCAAATATCAAATCATAATCGGATTCCATATCCAGACCGTCCTCAACAAAACCCATGGTGGTCCACTTCCATCCTTAATTCCACACAAACAAGGACAACATTATTCACAGCACAGTAATCAAAACAATGCGAATCAAATGGCAGACAGATTGATCAGTTGAGCATTCATAATGGCAATGCACAAATCTAGGAATTCATTCTTTAATCTACAATTAAATAATTAAATAAATAATATTAACAACAACAAAGATAAAAATAAATAATATAAATAATCATAATAATAATAATAATAATAATAATAATAATAAACAATGATAATCAAAATGAATAAATAATTGAATAATTAAATAAATAATAATGATAATGATAAAATAATTAGAGCACTATATTTATTATGTACTAAGTTATAGAATTAATCTAAATAAATTTATTAATTATGTTATTACTTAAAATTAGTCTAATTCTTATTGAAATTTCGGCAGCACCTCCCCGAAAAATTGGACTATCCACCTGTTTAGATAACACAGTATTATTATATATTTATCAATCAATGCACACAGCCCATCCGTCGGGCAATCAATCAACTTAATTCCCATCCTAACCTTCCATAACAACAAATATCATTAAGTTAATTTCAATTACTTTCACTTCGATAGTTTCGTTAAGTGTCTAACTATTATAGTACTCTTTATCAATCTTTCATTTCTCATTCTTGCTTAAAGATTTAATAGCCCACCATATTTTATACCTTTGTTAAATTTTATATTAGCCAATACGAACAAAATGCTTTTTATTAAATTAAATCTTAAAGAATACATATACTAAAGAGATTTAACTTACACTTTTAAAATATCGATTAACTATTCTTAGCGAGAATTAAACCTACTATTTTTCCAATGTTTTCACCAGTTTATCTTTCGCGTTTGGATTCATAATAATCATTTCTGAATGTTTCGCCATTCATTAGAGTCAGAATTAAATTATTTACCTATCAAGCGTTCTCTAACAAGGATCATAATAATTTTAACTAGGCCTATTCGTCACTCCTATTTTCAACATAAAATTAAAAGCCCCTCTCTATCCCAATTCATGTCAATTTTTCATGCCTTAGAAAAACATTAAAAACTCCAATAAAGCTATAAAAAATTCAAAACGAGGCAAAATAATCACAAATAAATCAGACCCAGATCAAATTGACGTTAAGCCATTTCTAATAGAATTAAGCATTACTTCAGCTATTGATTTACTTAAAGATTACTACTTACTAATAATATTGAAGCTTAATAACTAACAGATCCACAATGGAGATAGATTCCTATCCTTTAAAACATTACTTTTGTATAACTAAATTCATTCTTAGGTATTATTTTCATGTAATTCATGTAGCTAATATTCCTTAATTAACCAAATATTCTGCAGTCTTATACTTCTAAGCCTAATTATAAATTCAAGTCAAACAATAGTTTGAATACTCAATTCCAATGTCTTTATATTAACATTATAGGGTCATACTCTAACTGGTTGAGTGCAAAATTTCTGCACTATTTAGCACTTTCCGGGTTCACCGGAAACCGACTTCAACCGTCGCGCACAAGCCACGGTGGCCGACGGCCAAGCAGGCTGAGATCAAATAACAGTATACTTGAAAATTAAAAGAATGCTTCCTGAAGTTCGATTTGAGATCCAATATCTACAAAAATATTCTACAAAATATGGCAATTAATTACTAAAACCCCAAATTTTATCAATTGACAAAACCTAAATCTTTAACCATCTCAAGTGGCTCATTCAAATTCAGTTTGTCCATTAATTATTTATCTAAAGATAACAAGAAGGCATTTTGGGACTCACCTTGCTAACGCGGATCGTCGAAAAACGATGAGGTTGCCGGAAATCGAGCAGGAGATGCGATCTGGCGATGGAGCAGAACTGCGACTTCTGCCATCGTTGCGCTCGCCAGAGAGGAGGAGAAGGAGGCTTGAGCATGTGCGGCGGTGACGCGACGGTGAGGTGGCGCTGGTTCTTGTTGCAAATACACACCAGGAATCATAAATTTTCGGGTGGATAGATCAGCAGCGACTTCTTTGTCCAAAACCTGTTTCTGTCGTTGCTGGCTTGGTCGGAAAAGAGAGGAACAGTGGAGGGTGAGGTTTTGGCGACGGCATGAGAGGTGGTTCGGCCGGCTCTTGACTGGATTCACCGGAAAAACCAGGAGAATGGGAGGGAGGTAGCTGTCTCAATCAAAAATTGCAGCTCAATATCTCCCTCGTTGTTGTGCTATATAGACCAGAAGTGGAGAGGAGAGAGCGGCAGATTAATACCGGTGGCGAGAAGGAGGTTTGACTGGTTGGATTTTGAGCTCAGGCGACTAGAAATCGACAGGTAGAGAGGGGGAGTTGATGTCGCTGAAGCCGGGATTATCTTGTGTTTTCAATTTTTGGGCTTTGCGGCCCCAATTTTGAAAATTTGGGCTCGAATTGAGCCTGTTTTACATTTACAGCCCCACACGTCCAAAATTTTGCGATTTTTGAGAATTGAGCCTGTTTTACATTTACAGCCCACACGGCCAAAATTTGCGATTTTTGATTTAAAAAAAATTCGAAGGTTTTGAAAATAAAAATTCGGGGTATTATAAACATGAAGTGTCAACTATTACTCATTAATTTACAAACATTTTCTTTTTAAAATATATAAAATAATGTTTTGATTGAAATTCTTAATTGTCATTTCAAACTTTAAATTTGGGAAGCATGCAAATCTTGAAATGCTTGGTGTCATTTTGGCATGAGTCGCTCTCCTTTTCTTTTCTTTTGTTTTTTCCTTTCAATTTTCGTATTCTCATCATTATATTTTCTGTATGTAGATGAAACGACACAACAAGTTTATTTCAAATTTCAGCCAATTCAAAGCTATTGTCTTGTCAATATCACAATTTAACAATAACTAATTATGTTGTACGTATTTCCTTCAATGTACGTATTAATTGAAAGAGAAAAAGAAATAATAAAATAATGCAATTTCCCTCTCTATAATGATTAAAATTAACCTGCAACATCATCGAATATATATATAATTATAACAATTTAATCTGCATAGAATCATTTATCAATTTTCTTTTGATTAAAGTCTCAATACATTGTATCAATAATACGTTGATTGAAATGCTAAGTGACCTTAATTTCATAAGGATAAAAATAAAAATTCGATTCTAAAAAAATGCATTTTATTGAAAAGGCTAAAAATTTTTACCCTTTACAACTCGAGGGATTACACCAATTTCATATTATCTTATCATGTTAATTTTTCTTTTGTACATTGCTAAAAGAGTAAGTGTTGAGGGATTAAATTTATGATCTTTTGCATCACAAAATAGGTATTGACTCCACTTAATTAAAGATATTTTTGGAATATTTAAATGTAAAAAGCCTAAATTTTTTGCATTTTTATAATTTTATACTTTCCAAAACTTGCTGATATAACTATTAAACTTCATAAATGAACATAAATACAACTTAATCAGTATTGAGTAAGCAAATAATAAAAATAAAATGATAAAAAAGCATGAATTTAACTATTTTTACAATTTTAGTTAGTTCTTTTAATTATTATATAATTTCTACTCCATTGATATTATAATTTTTATTTTTATTTTATAATACTAAATTTATCTTGTTTAACTTAATTAAAGAAGAACTAAACTTGAAAATTAATTAACAAATGGGTGTCCTCTAATCTAACCCAAAAGATTAAAGAATTCAGTACTTAAAGTTAAATTTCCCCGTTTTATTTTCCCATTTAAATTTAAATAAAAGCGCACTGTTCTTGGCATAAATTAACAGCTCCAATCATGAAAGTTGGAGCTTAAACAAAAGTGACAGAAATGTCAACTTAGAGTCAATAATGACCTAAAAATGAGAAAAAAAAAAACTATAAAATAATATTTCCATTCTTGATTGATTGATATTTAATATTTTTAATTAGTGTATTTCTCTCCTTTTCTAATTGCACGCGCGAAACTATCACTGTCTCAACCAAATCTTTGGTTATTATATTAACATTATTAACATTCATTTTTCTTGGATTAATGAAATTTTCAACGCCTTCTACGTCAAGGGAAGACCGTGTTGAAATAATTATCACTACACAATAAAAAATCAACTTGAAATCAATTACTCCCTAATTAATATAAATTTGACTTTTAATAAATAAATAAATAAATAAATTAGTAAAAGGAGCATTTTAATTTTCTGCAAAGTATATTTTTTTTGTTTGTTTTTTTGAGGGTATTGAGATTAATTTTCTTTCTGAGTCAATTCCACTTGTGCTTTTTTCTGCAAATTATTTATTGTTTTAAAAGGAAAAAGGAATTAAATTCAAACGTCATGATTTATGACTATATCATAACAATGAAAAGACCAATATAGATTCGTGGGTTTGGCTGATAATAGTAATTGGCTAAAAAGTGACGAACAGAATATAGAAAATGAAAGGAAAGCGTTTATATTCTAAACCAGAAAGCCATCAGCTTGACCATCCAGGTGCAATGGACTCAACCTGTAGTCCATAATCCATATTGAAACTTCTCCTAGAACGCCTAAATGATTCTCAGCCACCTCATTCTCCACGAGGCCAAACATCGTTTCTTTGACATTCGCCAGGTGTCTTTTTTATCCATATAAATATTATTTACAAGCACTTATGTAAGCCATGCAAAACATAACAAACTACACTACTCTGCAACTAAGCATGGATGAGGATAAGAGCACAAAGAGCAATAAGGAAGAAAGAAGCGACGGTGAAGTCAAATACAGAGGCGTTCGAAGGCGGCCGTGGGGTAAATTTGCGGCGGAGATACGCGACTCCACCAGACATGGAGCGCGGGTTTGGCTTGGAACTTTTAAAACGGCAGAGGAAGCAGCAAGAGCTTATGACCGAGCCGCTTATGCAATGAGAGGGCAGTTTGCGATTCTTAACTTCCCTAATGAGTATCCTCTTACAAGCACAGCTGGTGCTGGCGCTTCTTCTTCTTCATCTTCTTCTGCTCCTCCTCCTCCTCCTCCTTCTTCTTCAGCAATGACAAGGCAAGTTTTTGAGATAGAGTATTTGGATGATAAGTTACTGGAAGAGATGCTTGAGACAGAAGAGCAAAAGAACAAGAAAAAGTAATGAAGTTAAAATTATCAAAAACCCATAATGTAAGATGTTTCTGCTTTGTTGCAACAAAAATATACAAATGGTTTCTGTCTCTTGCACATTAGATTACCATAAGACATTACTACACGGGGAAAGAGTTATCTACACCGCATGCATGGCCACATCTATATCCAACCACTCACATACGGTATTTTGGTTCAAACAGGGGCAATTTTGATAATATATTGGGAAAAAAATGATAAAATGGTAACATTTTTTTAAGACCCTATTTTTTAATTGGCTTGGTGTACAAGACCACACATACATCAGTTGTAAGAAATTTTTATCTTTGCTATATAATTAAACTTTATATAAGTTTTTTTCACTTATCATACTTTAGTTAAATTTGAGTGTAACAGAATGTCTGATGGCTAGAGTCTAGTCTTGAATATATCTAGTTTTTTCCTAGCATTTTTAGTTACTAATAAAAAGAAATTTGTTTGCCTATAAAAAAATACTATGCAGTGTGTATTTCATGTTTTTTTCTTTTTATTTTTAATTAATGACTGGTGAATGCATATTCCCTCAATAAAAGGTTGTGAGAATATTGAAACATCTTGTACTTTTCTAGAAGGCATATGTTATTGTCCATCAAATTGATAATTTGGTTCTTTTTCTAGTTCTAGATTATGGCATGTTACCTAACTTAACCTTTTGTTTTATAGCTTCTTATTTATACACATTATATGATGACTGCCTAGAATTCAATTTCCCATGTGGAAAGAAAAGAAATTTTAATTATTAATTTAATTTGCATATGTAACTGAATGAACTACCCAACAGAACAAACTGAAAACCAACTAATTAACTACCATCTACTGCCTTTCAAGTAGCGAACCAACCATTATTGCACATATATATGGCGGCGACAAAGATTGAGTTTTAATTGATGAGAGACAGATTCAATCTAAAAGTCTAAACTTATGCATATATGTTGTAGACTTGCCAATTTACTTGCTTTCATATATGCGAGGTTCAATCACTTTAAACGAATTGTCGGCTTGGTCGAGGACGACGAAAGGATGCTTACAATTATTTGAACAATTGACTAGTTATCGTTTTCCGGTAGAGACACAGAGTTATCAGTTCATGAGTTTAACTTTTTACCTTCAAGTGGCTCAATAATTTTATCATTTTACTAGAATTTCCATCATCCTGAGATCATTAGCATCTCAATATCAGGGTACAGCTAGGATTTTTAAGAGATGTAAAACTATTTAAAACCTGGTTTTGAACTTAGGCTTTGCTAAGGACCAACATCATGTGCCTCTGCTCCTGCTCAATTTGCCTGCAGTTTTCTAAATAAATTTGATTTCCAATTCCATATATACATGTTCTTTCAAGGCAGTAACGCCAATAAAGCAAGTCGTAGTGCAAATCGTATGGACTCGGCAATTTATCTGAGCCTTTTATTTATTTCTAATATATACGACTCTTCTAGATGATTTTGTTCGAACAAAGAAATCATTTGCTTTATTCAGATGCTTCTTTAATTCACGGAAATTATAATAGCTTATGAAATATAATTGAGGTCCTGTCATTTTGATTCATATATTCGATAATAACATTTCATCAAGGAATAATATTTTTCACCGTCTTTTAAGATGTGATTAGATTATAACGATTCCATTTCACAGTAAATATCATATTCTGGGGTTCTTCAAACCATAAACATCTTGATCTTTGCCCTTCTTTTTTTTTATCTTATAGTTGCTTTTCTTATTATTTTACAAAAATTAAACTTTGATCCAGTATATGCAGATTTTCCTTTTTTTTTTTTTTTTTTTTTTTTCTTTTGCCCTTTCTTCTTTTTTTTATCTTATAGTTGCTTTTCTTATTAATTTACAAAAATTAAACTTTGATCGGCAGTATAATGCAGAATTTTCCTTTTTTTTTTTTTTTTCTTTTTTTTTTTTTTTTAAGAGAAAATCAGAAAAAAACTGGAGCTATATAAATAAATTATGGAATTGCAGCAAACTTTAATTATTCATTTAATTCCAGAAATCCATGGAAATTAACTAGCCAGCCATACATTTTTTTTTTTTTTTTTTTTTTTTTTTAGAGAAAATAGAAAAACTGGAGCTATATAATAAATTATGGAATTGCAGCAACTTTAATTAATTCATTTAAATTCCAGAAATCCATGGAATTAACTACCAAGCCATACATTTCTCATCTAATGGGTGAACCACAATTTATTCATCTTCTATCTTATATGTATAAATATAGAAAAGCTCTTCACTACAACAGTTAATGTGAAGAGAATGCAGATAATATTCATCAATCTTCCCGTCGTTTCTTCTTCTTCTCCTCCTCTGATTCAAGAAGCTCCTCCAAGACCGTATCATCTAAATACTCGAACTCAAACACTTGCTTCTCTTGCCCACTCGAACTGGAGCTTCCTCTCTCAGAACTCATCTCCATTGCACCACTAAATGAAGAGGAAGGAGATGACGACTGATGAGGAGAAGACGATGAAGCAATTACTCGAGAATAATATTCATTAGGAAAATTAAGGATTGCAAGATGACCTCTCATGCTAAATGCAGCTCTATCATAAGCACGCGCCGCCTCCTCTGCGGTGTCAAATGTTCCTAGCCACAACCTAGCCCCCTGCCTTGATGGGTCTCGAATCTCCGACGCATATTTCCCCCACGGCCGCCTTCTTACCCCTCGGTAATGCACTTCTTCTCTTCCTTTATCTTCTTTGTTCTTGGTCCCTTTGCTGCTACTGCCTTCCATATAATAAGACTATCTAATTAATTTGTATTTATCAATTAATTAAATTATTGGTTTGGTAAATTGTATTTTTCAAATTTGAAGCTTGGTAATTTGGTTATGTTATTATAATGGGTGGGTGATATTTATATATGAATTTTGGATCTTTAGGTCATTAAAATTTTAATTAATTACCAATTAGGAATTCTCAATTACGTGGATTTGACTATATATATATATCTGGTAACTCTATTTCGAGGAAGGTTCTTTGCAGTACAAATATGAATTGGATTGTTCTATGATTCTAATAATGGTATTGGAAAAGCATAGTAAAAATATTAATTTTTAAAGAGGTTCTTATTCTGTTAATTTGGAATAAATGTATAGCATGAGTAATAGTGTATGTCACTAGCAAATCTGAAATCTATATGCTGACTTCATGACCGCTATTAAGATAATAAAATTTAATTAATTTTATTAGCATTTCTTCGATATGATGCCCAAATCAAATTTGGTTTTTATGTAATTAGATTTAATTGGACCTACCCTTACAATTAACTTGCTAATAAAGTTAATATTATTCTATTTATGGTGCTCAAAATCAAAAATGGAAGACCTAGTCCTACCTCCTCCTTTCTCTTTTCCCATAAAGGTATTGGCATTTGGCACCTTACTATTTCGATTCTCTGAATTTTTTTTTTTTTTGGTAATTACTGTATAGATTTTATTCAAATGCTCTTAGTGACTACCTCAATTCAGGTTGTGGCTCAAATTCGCAACGTAGATTGGATACATGGAAAGAATTCTAGGATTTGATCTCCATTAAACATACCTACATAGAAGGGTGAAGAGTTTTAACTGTGACTAAACTCCGAACCAGATTAATTGATCTCCGATAATGTCCAAACACTGATGGTTTACACGAAAAAAAGACCTCAATTTTTAAAATTATACTATTTAGATATTGTCTTATAATTTCTACTACTCTAAGGTCCAACCGTTAGTTTTCATTAAATGAAATATCAAAAGATAATTACTATACAATTCTTATGGTTTAGAGAAATGTACTAATCAAGACCTCAATTTACATAATTTTTATACTATTTAACCTCTATATAATAATTCTTCTTGAGTGTCTGTTTGATATTTCATAACCACTTGACGGAAATACAAACAGCTGGACCTAATAATATAATATAACTATAATGTAATGACTAAATGGTGTAATTTTGAAAATTGAAGTTCATACTAACGCATTTGATAACAATATAAGGATTATACAGTAATTTACTTTAATTTTTTATGGATTAATTATGAAAAAAACAAAACTGAATTCCTTCCTGACTAGGTAATCGAGTCTCAGTTGGATTATTCGATTTGATTACTTATAATTGAATAATTCTACAGTCTTATACAAGACCACGTGCTCTCTCAATTCTTTCAATTCATATCTACTTGTAAATTTGGATTTATTAGAAATTGAAATGTTTTCTAACAACGGTTTAATGATTTTCAACCATATTATTTTGCATACATATTTTCACATTCAGACCGGATGGTAAAGTCGAATTGATGGGCAGAAAGTTTCAGACATAAAAGGAAGGCCTTCATTATTCTGTAATGATGTCCTGTAACAAAACAATAAACTTAATTTTGAAAAAATTAATAAAAGAAAAACAAAAAGAAGAAACAATTTCTTGTTTGGACAAAGGGTGGCCCAAATGATGAAACGCAGCCCAGTTGATTTTACGTAAGCAAACCCAACCCGCAATAGATTCCTTGGTTTATTCTTGCTATTATGAACAGGTAGCAGATATATTAATTTTAGAAAGCAATTTTAATTTTTCGTATTTTTACATTTTTTTGGTCAAAAATGTCATTATTATTATTATTATTATTATTATTATCAGAAAAAAAATTAACAGATTGAATGTGGTTTTATGGAGAAAAATGAAAAAGAAGTGTTGAGTTGGAGTCTATTAGCAATTAGCAGCCATTCAATTCAAATGTTTGCAGAGAAGAAATGAGTTCATTAATGCATTGGGCGGTGGTCAAATAGATAGGCCCATTTATTGGGTTGGGTTGGGACCCAAAGGAGCCTAAATTATCATTTTTATTGTTTTTGTAAAATAAATTTAATTTAGCAGATGATATCAAACAAATTCTACTTTTGATTGTAGACTAAAGCCTTGGTCTTTTTTATATGACAATGGCCTTTCTTATATTTTAATAATAATATAAGCTCGCAATAAATATTTAAATATTTTTATTGTTAAATTATTATTAAAATCATTCTATTTAATTGTGTTATACTTTTTTTTAAATTAAAAAGAGAACGAAAATATGAATAATAGTATATTTTCAGGTAATAAATAAATATATTTGTCATTAGATGTAACATATATAATTAAAATAGAATGAATAAAATAGAAAAATACTACATATGTAGATACGAAGATATCTAATTACCAATATGTGATAGAAAGATATCTAAAAAAGTGGAGGACAAGTTCTATAAGAGGTTGTAAAAAATCTAAGAGTTCTTAACATTGTCATGTAGATAATTATGAACAAAGTGAAATATAAATAAATAATTTATATAGCTAATTCTAATTAATTTCGCTTTGTTTATATTTTAATGGAATATTACTAAATACATTAATAATATATATCTCCTTAGGATTTTGTTTTTCTCAATATTTATTTATGTTTGAAAAAGTGCCGTCATATTTTTGGCATCTAGTCATGTCAAAACGACTACCTATTTGTTATGCCAATTTGGAAACCTTAGCCACGATTGCTCAACTGTTTCAGGCAGCCGCCATAATTTTGTCGTTTAGTAATGACGTATTGCATCCATAGACAAGTATTTTGGAACACAAAAATATTAATTAATAATTTTTTTTTCTAAAAGAACATAAGCAAATTTTCCACTTGTAAAATTTTTATTTGATAGAACTCCTAACAAGCAATACAGCTTGCTTTTGGCTCATGAAATAAAATAAAGAGTATTTACACAATTATTTTTCTTCTTCTATTTAAAGAAAAAGGGTATTCACACAATGGATTGGACCAGCCCAATTTAGAATCGAGGTGGGGCCTAGATTACATTTCCAAATAATTTAGCGCCCGGGTTGGATTCCAGCCCAATCCAGCAATCGTATGGTTACTCCCTTAATTGAAAAATTAATTAACTGGGATATGTGTTTTGCTTTATTTATTTTTGAAAAATAATTTATCTGATAAATATTATTTACGTATTTGAGATGTTCAGAAAAGAATTAATAAAATGGGATATGAAAATCTTTTTATAATCAACGGAAAAATTAAAATTTTTTTTAAGTAAATTGACTTTCTGTTTTTAAGAGAGGAGAGGATATCTTTCAAATATTGACAAACTCATTATAATTTTATAAATACATATTTATTAATTTATTAATAACTAATACCCACAATCACCATTTACTTATCACTATTTTTTATGTAATTTTTCATATTAATGATAAAATTTTAAATATAAATTTTTACAATCATAATTATTTTTATAATTTTATAAGTTAAAATATTTTAAACTAATTTTCTATAATATAATCAAACAATGGAAAATAAATCATTTAAAAATTATTTTTTCGGGAAAACATTTTCTTTAAGTAATAAATTTTCAAAAATAAGTTATTTTTAAGAAATAAACAAAAATTTAGTTTCCCAAAATTTAAATTCATGAAAAATATAAATTGATCAAGATATTTTAATACCATCTGCATTCACTTATGCAGCAAATTAACTAAATATAGATATTTGATATAAATAAAGGTGTCATAATATAAAAGCACAAAACTTCGTAGGCAAATTTATGAATTTGGAAAATATTTTTCAATATTCTCATCATCATCTCCACGCCTACAAGGCTGCGCGGATCATTAGTTACCAATTTATATGTATAGATTCAGTTAATCTCCTTAAGTTAATGATTTAATCAACTCAGCAACTATCATAAGTTTATTGGTAAATGTTAAGCTGATATTTTATTAAATAATATATCTATAACAGCCTATCATTACCCACCTAATCCTCATAGGTACATTGAGCCTAACCATAACAGTTGCAAATGCTTCATTCTAATTGATTTGAAGCATCTTAACTTTTCTAGTTGAAAAAGCACGTTTCTAATGTGAATAACACAAATATGTTTAGGGTACTCTGAAACAAGCTAAAAGGTTAACACCAGGAGAAGAATATTCGCTACTAATTAATCATTAATTACATTACAAATTAATATGATTAGTCCTTGTATAGTATACATCATAAGCAACTAATCTAATGAATCTAAACTGTAAACATGTGTTAGTAAAATTTACTGTGTTTTGGTAATTATTAGTTGTTTTGTTAGTCGTTAGCTGTTTTAGCAGTATTTAGCTGTTTGAGTAACTTTTTATAAAACCATTAAAAACTAAACGTTACAAGAATTAATATTTTATAAAATGTTACATTAACTTCTAAACATTAGTAGAAATGCTATATATGTTACAAAACACTATTAAAAATAACGTTTAGGGTTTTGACCAAATACTTAAAATGCTGTTATCTAACATGACATGTATAATTTTTTACCTTAATCAAAGTGCACCTTCTGATTACAATTTGGAAAGGTAATTAGTAGGAACATATATATGGACAAATCTTATAATTAAGCTAATTGCCATTTAAACATTTGTTTATTGGATTTGGTAGTATAGTTCAATAAGAGTGTTACATGTACTGATTCATGCACCCATTACATCTTAACAATAGTGGAAGTTTGAAACTTTAGTATTAGGATATGCATTTGATGTCATGTCACAATCTTTTATTCTTGTTGGTCCTCTCTTAGGGATATAACTATTATTCAAACATATATGAAGAATGTTCGGTCCAACTATGTATTAATTAACTATGGACTTACTGTTAATTTTCCTGGTTTCAGGCATTGTAGAAGCAGAAACTTCATTAAGCCTTCCTTTAAGAGAAGAGTTTTATTGCCATTGCTCTTGTTTTATTTTATTTTATTAAACGAGATCTCAAGTCATAGATGGAACTTAAAATTGCTAAGTGCATGCATTTAGTTATGTTAATATTCACTATCACTATAGTTATAGAAAATGTTGTTACCTCATCGCTGACCTAACGAATCTTAACAATAATTATTTTTGTGGAATTACACTTATGGGTTTAATTCAAAACCTTTCACTGTATTGGTCATGGCATGTGGGTTGTCATGAATTTTTGTTACTTCGTCATGGGATTTATTATGATCATCTTTATATTTCACGTGAATGAGCTGAAATTCAAAATCAAAAAAAAAAAAAAATGTCTTAGCAGTTTTTTTTATAATTTTAATTTTAAAAACAATGTAATACATTTATTGCCTTTAATTTAAAGAGTCTGAAATATTTAAAATTTTCATATTGTTTATTAAATAGATGTATAATTTTGTCTCTTTTTTCCTTGACAATTATATATATATTAAAATTTATTTTAATACACTGGAAAAATAAAAGTGCTAGAGTTTTTTTCTTTTTCCCTTTTTTTTCATCTTTTGAAACATGAAATTAGATGTTGTTATCCATGAGATGTGAATGCTTAAAAATTGATTTTGCATCACTTTCTTTAATAGATAATATATAATTATGGGTAGCAATAATAGAGAAGTCACAATCATGGTCACGATTTCATCCTACTCAGAATATTCAGCAAGTTCATTTTGTACACAAGATTTGCCAATCTTTCTATTTGTGTGTCATTCAAATCACTACTACAATTAAGTGATAAATGACTCTTTTTTGCTATTTGAAAAACAAAAATTGGAGAGAAGAACATAAAATAAAAAATGAATAATTGTCGCCGGAATATAATAAACCCTCCGGCGGCTTGAATAAGACGGGGAGAAATGGTTGGTGGAAAGGGGAGGGACGGTGGGACAATAACAATGGCATAAATGCAAAAGTTAAAAACTTAAAAATGTGAAAATTGTATGAACGGACCATGTACCATGAATCTGTAGGCATCATGTCTCGCCTAACCGATTAGTCAAAATTATATTTATGTTAGTGTTCCTTGGTTAAGGAATAGGATATATATATATATTTTTTGTTTTAAAAAAAAAAAAAAGAGAAATAATAGAAACTAAGGAGTGACAAATTGAGTAGGGACCGCTGCCTGCTACAGTATACAGCAAGAGGCCAACTCTCACTATCTGATCACGTGAGGGGAAGGGAACGGAGACATTTATACATTTTTGTCATAATTTTTTTATGGTCATTAAAGAACTTAAAAGAACCTGGGAGTTCCATCGTATGTGTTGATTGATTTTATTCTGTTTTGTCACTCTTTTCTAATTTTCTATTGGCTTAATCATTAGAAAAAAAAAAAACCTTAGATTTTTGAGTTTTTTTTTTTTCAAATTTAGATAATACTTTTAATTTTGTAGATAATATCCTATATTTATTTTTTATCGTCAATTCTACCCTTTATCTAGAGCCCAATTGAGTGTGGTAGAGTGATACAGCTCTAGAAGCAAAGGATCTACTTGGTAGATCTAGGTGTTGCCTACTCTGCAAGTTGCTTGCTGAGAATCTATATTGTAAAGTGATACTAAATTCTTTTAAGCTTTTGATGGGGTAGAAAGAAGATAGTTTCAACAGTGTAATCCTCCAATATAGAGATTCTAAAATGGCCAAATAATGATCATATGAATGTGAGCTAACATATTGTAGGGCAATTAAAGGCTAAATAAGCAAGAAATTGACGGACACTGAAAAGACCGTAATTGACAAAGGAAAATAAGTCTGAGATAGTAATTAACAAAATTAGAAGTATTGGCTAAATTTGCCAAAAGCGTCAAAGTTCAATTTTTTTTTTTTTTTTGGTGATTTAGCCTTTTCTATTTGCCTATCTATTTATATGCAATATAATTTTTTTTACAATTTGATTAATGTTACTCAAAGGGTAACGTTACCCTACTATGTAGCACATAATATTATTTCGATGTGTTGGATAGTATAAAAAAAAAAAATGAAAATGTGGAAAAACCAAATAAGTATACTAATTTTTATTCATCAGGTATTAACATTTCATTTGCCTCCTAAAACTCCTCCAAATTAACATAGATATGAGATTGTTAATGCAAATTCAAAATAAAATCAAGTATGAAATTACTAATTTCATTGGCTAATTTTGTCATTACACCAATGAAATTTCTGAAAAGGACATGTATCCCAAAACGGGTTTCCCAGAAGCTACATTACAATATGAAATTTTCAAAAAAGATCTAAGATACCCTACAGTTGATAAGCACAATTAAAGAAAGAATGGACTCCTTAGGTCACTTTCCAAGAACAGTATCCTTTCTTTTTGGAAGACTTCACATTTTCAATAATTTTATCTCTCAAGTTTTGGAGACTTTGAAATATTTTCTTGAGCTTCAAGGGGGCCTGTATCCAGACTTCTTCTAGACGTCAAGTTCACATTTATTTATATATATTTCTATTTATTTAAAATCTGGGTTTCATTTAGGCCCTATGTTTAGGATAATGATGCAATTGAATAAATCACCATAAATAAACAATTTTGCTCTCTTCATTTGCTTGGCAATTATTATTATTTTTTTATTGTAATAATATAATAAATTTAAATTGGAAGAAGTCGTTTTATTTCCAATTTTCATACATTACTTAGGGTTGGCAGCAATTTATGATTATCACAAAATCAATTCACATGAACCCTGATGCTGTATAAAGAAACATGGATCAGAGTTTTAAAAAGAATACAATTAAATAAAAAAAAAAGGTTTTTATTTTTCTTTTTAGTAAATTAACAATTGTTTTCTCGTTTGAATCAAGAATCGTATAATTCATTTACAATGCAATACATTTCTATTGACATAACCGTTTACTTGTTTGTTTATATATATTTCCTTTTTAAATCATATAAATGAAAACATGCTCATGAAAAATGAAACAAAATTGATTGTTGAAAAAAGAAAACACTAATAAAAAGGGATAATAACGAGATTGTCCCTTAATGCTATGAAACCTGAAAATTTAATTAATCCAAGAACCTGTGAAGTTCCTTCAGTTACTATTCCTAAAATACTCTGTTTTTTCAATTTCGTCCAAACAATACTCATCCCCGCAATGAGTAGTATTGCTGACTTTCCTTTCAACTTGGCTCGTTTTATCAAGAACCGAGACAAATATTTTAAATATTTTCAACATTTCAGGATAGAAGTTATACATTACTTATTTAACAATATTTTTTCGAAAAAATTTCGTACCGTCCTAAATATTATAGGACTTATTACACCTCTAAAATTATAAATTTTGAATAATATTGCATGGTAACAACATGTTTTAGAGTTTTTGATTTTTATATGTAAACTAATTATTTGACACATGATTAATATAACTTTTGAAATAATAATTTTCACTTATTTTAGTTATGTAATAAATGTTTAATCGATTTAATTTTTGAAATTGAACCATTTAATAGAATAATTTTATAAATTAAAATATATAATAAGTGTATTTTATAAGTTGAAATGATTATATTCAGAATAAAAATTGAGAATGCCTCGAATTTAATAAGATATCATGCATCTTATAATTAATGTAAAGATTTTAAATTAAAATTTTATTTTTCATCTTTTATTTTCATTAAGGCTACATTTTCAAAAAATAATTTACATTGAAAAATGTGTCTTCATTTCACACTTAAAACAGTTCAAATAATTTATTTTCTATTATTTAGTTACAACATTAAAAATAATAAGATTACTAGTTGTAATTAGCAGCAATTGATAATAGTGAGTATCATTGATAAAGAGAGTAATATAAATTTGTGTTTATAAGGTTTTAATAAATTTATAATTTTTTTTTTCCTGAAAAAGAGGTATCATTTTTCTTTAAAATAACTTAATTTTCATTTGACAACCAAAATATTTTTCACTTTCACTATACTATTTTCTTAATCACTCCTAAACATCTAAATATTTTTGTTGGAAAATAGCAGAGGTTAATGAATAATAATAATTAAAAAAGAAAAAAAAAAGAGTGGTTGGTCTATTGCCCAAGAAAACAAGTCATCCTCTATTTTCCAGGAAATAAAAGCAAAGTTAAGCCAACGGCAATACAACCGCAAAGCTGATTTGTCCTGATCATGGGAAGAAACGGAAATATCAACATCGTCCACGTGAGATGATAAATGGACAAGGCCCAACCCAATCTTCACTCCCAGACAAAATTGAGATCATACTCTGACGTCACTCAACATTTCCCCTCTGACCTGGCCGCCTTGGTAGTTGCTTCAATTGACCCACGTGTGATTTTGGCCCATTTATGGCCCACACCAACGCTAAAGGGAATTAAAAGTGCAACTCATCTCCTATTCTTTTACCTTCACGTTTTTTTACCCTTCTCAGTAATTTTAATACTTCCGTAACTGTAAAATCCTACTTCTCTATCTTCTTTGCTGCGAATATAAAAGGGATACCAGGCTTCCATTTTTGTATACCTCAGGCTCAGGCTCAGTATGCACTTCTAAAAGCATACCAAACAGTCAACCAACTAAACATTCCAAATCTCGTTACCAGATTCACATGGATTCCTCAAATTTTTACTCTCCCAATTCTGATTTCTCATCGGAATCTTCTTTCGGATCGCCGGAATCCTTCTATAGCCCATCGTTTAACCAAGATTCTCTCCCTTTCAATGAAAATGATTCCGAAGAAATGCTTTTGTATGGACTAATTTCAGAGGCAACGCAAGAAACGTCAAAAATGGATTATTCGAACAAAAAAATCAAAGAAGAGGAGGTGAGTTCAATAATAAAACAAAACACAAAGAAGGAAAGCAAATCCTTCAGAGGTGTAAGGAGGCGGCCATGGGGAAAATTCGCGGCGGAGATAAGAGATTCAACTAGGCATGGAATAAGAGTATGGTTAGGGACATTTGATAGCGCAGAGGCAGCTGCTTTAGCTTACGATCAAGCTGCTTTTTCAATGAGAGGAGCTGGGGCTGTACTGAATTTTCCAGTTGAAAGAGTAAAAGAGTCACTTGAGGATATGAAATACAGCCATGAAGAAGATGGCTGCTCACCTGTTGTAGCTCTTAAAAGAAAACATACTATGAGAAGGAAAATTATGAGCAGAGCCAAGAAAGAAAACGTCGTCGTTTTGGAAGATTTAGGTCCTGATTACTTGGAGCAGCTTCTTTCTTCCTCTGAAAATGCTACACCTTGGTCAACCAAGTTCATCTAGACTTATTTGCTTCATCTTTATCTTTTTGTCTCACGTCATTGCAATGGTTGGAGAAACGATTGTTTTTTTGAATTTAGGTGTGTACCTTGATATCTTTTTTTTTTTTTTTTCCCTTGTAAAGTTTATAGGGATTTACTAATTAAATATTGTAGTAATTAATCTTGTGAGTTTCAATCACTGATTTAAGTATCAATTCACAAGTTCCATCTTCATGTTGGAAACAGAGGACTCTGTAAATTAAACAGAGTTGCACCACTGTAATGACAGGACACAATAGAGAAGCACAACTGCTTCACGTAATTGCAAGTTTGCAACTATAAAACATTATTGCTTGATTTTATGGAAATCACCCAAAAATATAATTGACCATTTCATTTCTAATAACACTTCTTTACCCTCATGACTCGTTTCATATCAGTGACGGTGCCCGTCCATGCAATGGCATTTTAGAAAATCTCATGCATGTTTTTTTTTATCGTTGTACTTTATTTTAAATTTTTATTGCACAAATGTGCATGATCTAATGATAAGTACGTGTACTATTTGGGTATAATTTAAGTTCAATTTTTTCAATAAAAATTATGTTTGGTTTTTTTTTTTTTAATATTAAGAAATGAACGACGAGATTTTACGACGGTGAGATTTCAATCTATATTCACTTTTATATAATTTTATTTTTACCGCTAAACTAAGATACTCATTATATTTAAATATTAATACCAACAAGTGTACAAGTATTGAGTAATATTTTGAATTTTATTTACAAAAACAAGTAGAGTATGTTATATGATAATTTTGAAATAACTATTGTAGTTTTAATAGAAATATTTTTAAAGAATTATTTTTGTAAATAGTGATGAATAGGTTCTGATATCTAATATTGCCATTTTCTTTTAACAATTTTAGAATAGTTTTTACTCTGTAAGTTCGAACTTCTTAATTATATCTGTGAACTTTCAACTATCTTTTTCAAGGAGAATAGGCTAAAAATACATGAAAGAGTAGCTTTTTCTTTTTTACGGAAATTTGTAATAATACTATTCTAGAAAGATAGACTTTGTGTTTGACAAGTAAGTAGAAACTTCTTGTTTATTTACTTATTATTATTAATTACTACTAGTTATTGTAAATCCATATCCAACGTGCTACCAACTCTAGAAATTCAAGAATATTAGTAAGAAGCTCTTGAAAAATCAATATGCACATGTTAAATTGAACAAAAAAACATATAAGAAAATTCTTGTTTTTCAGGAAGCAAACAATTCTCTCTTGTAGTTACTTGTGAGACAATATAAGAAATACGACCAAGAAAAAAAAAGTATTGTAATGGAAAATAAAAATAGTGCATATAGCAAAGTTATTAAATAAATAAATAAAGAATTAGAAGCAAAATACACTACTAGAAATGGGTAAACCGAAAACATATTGAAAAGAAAGAGAAATGGAAAAAAAAAAAAAAAAAAAGAATTAGAAGCCAAATACCGACTACTAGAAATGGGTTAAACCGAAAAACATATTTGAAAGAAAGAGAAATGGAAAAAAATAAAAAAAAAAAAAGGAAATTTAACTAATTATTATTTAATTTAATAAATAAAAAAAACAAAGAAGCAAAACCGAAATTGGCGGGCTGCTAAAGAGTTTAAGAGTGTTGGTAACCTTTGAAAAAGGGACCTTAATAAAGAAATTATTTCAGAATTGTCTTTTAGCGTAGGCTTTGTTTGTTCTCATTTCATTTTCATTGATTCAATTCAATCAATTTGAAAATTAGGAAAAAAAAAAAAAAAAAAGAAATAACTAATTATTATTAATTTAATAAATAAAAAAACAAAGAAGCAAAACCGAAATTGGCGGGCTGTAAAGAGTTAAGAGTGTTGGTAACCTTGAAAAGACTAATAAAGAAATATTTCAGAATTGGTCTTTAGCGTAGGCTTTGTTTGTCTCATTCATTTCATTGATTCAATTCAATCAATTTGAAAATTACTATTTGGGTCCAATTTCAATCCAAACGAATCTTCTCTTTGTTTCCAATTAGGTTTTGTTTATCCTGTGGTTGGAATTGGACTGATATTTGCCAGATGAGACCCCTCTATCCTGCAATTTTATTTTTTAAAAGATTATTCTATTCCATTGAAAAGCAAAAGATAATGAAAATGTTGAATCTTAATTAAACAATACAACAAAAGTTGAATATTATTATTTTTCACTCCAAGTATTAAAAAATGAAAGATTCATATCTTTTATGCTTTTTGAATTCAAAATTGAATGTTCATAATCTACATTACCATTTTTTGTGCTTTAAATTTCATAATCTAATGAAGATTAAGTCCTTAGAGAGTTATACACTTACCAATGTCTTTATTTATGTATAGGAATCTTTTAATAAGAAGGATGTTGTTCTAAATTTTGATGTTATATGATAAATTTTCAATTTTTTTTTTTCATTCCTGCCATCAATGATATCCTTAATTCAATTTAGATATTGGATATTAAATTTCTTTTCATGGTTAATTTCAAAAAATGTATTCTCTATGTTGATATAATGTATTCAAAAATATTATTTATTTTTTTAGAGTTTTTGAACCAAAGAGTACAAACAAATTACAAATTATTTGATTCGAGATTAGAATTCATGAAGAAATATTTTGACTTTTTTAGACTTGAGATTAACATCCAATTGACATTCGAAATTTAAAATTTAATTAGATCCTTGTTAATTATAATGGGAGGAGTAATTGACTGGAATAAATAAAATCAATTCACGAAGAAAAAAATTTAAGACTTGGACCAACTATTGCTAAAAATATTAAAAAAAAAAAAACCATTTTAGACTTTTTATTTTATGGTAGATAATTAACTTTTCACTCTCTTATGCCCTTTGTATAATGTGACATTCTAACACATTTAATACTCTCTATTAGATTTGAATTTCTTTTAAAAAAAAAAAAACTCCATTATTTGTTGAATTTATTTATTCATTTTTTTTTTATAAAAATTTTTAAAAAACTTATAACTCCTATCTTTAGTAAATGGAGGTCGAAACATGATACTCTATATTAATTGCTAATAAAAAAAAAAAATCACTATCAATTTGATTTGAAGTAAAATAATTATTGAAAGGATAGAATCCTAAGGGTATGCCATTAATTCAAAGGAAATGGCAAGAACCTTCTAATTAAGGTCATAGTTCAGTCGTCAAATAAGTTAGTTACTGGTGATAGATTTGGAAAGAATTTTTGGTTTTAATATCAATTTATGTCATTTTCTGTACAAATTTTACAAAATTAAATTGGGCCAACTGCCAACTATAGTCAATTCAAAAAGAGTGTATAATATAAACTATACTGTATATGCTTGCGTATAGTATTTCAATACATGTACCTAAGTGCTGATATAGACTATACTTTATGCATAAATTACGAAAATGCAGTTAAATAAAAAAAAAAAATTAGAAAGGGAAAAAAAAATATTTTGGAGTAATTAAGGAATAAATAATTATATATGTCACGTGAATTTTGATTGTTCCAATTTGGTAATACAATCCAAGATTAAAAGTCTTGGTGGTCAATGTTTAAATGTTTTGTTTAGTCAATTCAAAGGCTATTTATTTTGAAAATATTTATTAATGCAATCTATAAAGTGTAATAAATATAGTGGCAAATCATGATTTTCATTTGATCGATAAAGATAAAGACATATCACTTTCAATCCTAAGTGGTTAACTGAACTTGGTCACACATGTTCGTGATAGACTTTTATTTATTTAACATTATTAATAAATCAAATTAAAAGAATCTATATTCCAACTCATACCACCATATGAATATGCATAATCAGCTTTTCCTTCTGTTTAATGTTTCTAATTAACATATACTTTGGATCCACTAATCCGCATATTATACATATGTTGTCAAATTAACATGAATCGGAAGTCTCACCTAATTTATTTATTTATGAATTATTATATTTAGTTTAATGATGTTATAAATTATTATTATTGCATATAACTCTAAATTTAAAAATTTGTATAGGGATAGAAATATAGGATATTCTTTTGAAAGAGAATCTCCAAGAAAATTGTGGGTCCTACCTTATCAAAGAGAAAGAAATTGGTGCAATGTAAAGTTCTTTGTACTTGTCTTGTCTACTGTCTGTGTATTCTTCTGCCTGTCTACCAAAATTTAAATGCGTATGGGTTTTGATGTTATGATGATTGACAAGTAACTACACTCAACTCTAGTGGAAAATGAACATTGTGAAAAAGAAAATAATAATAAAGTGTAAGCTCAGAATCTTAAAATGGGATCTTAATTACCTTGTGGCCAGCCTTCTAATTTAATAATATTAGCCCAAAAGATTAAAACAGACCCAACAGATAAAAAGGCCCTAAAACTCCTCGTATTGTCATGTCGATTGTGTCCAATGGGCTTTGGTTCTTTTGGTCCACACAAGTTAAGGTCGTCGGTTTTATATACTACTCTGCTTGAAAAGGCATGGTTTGAGCAAATATTTTGCAAGAACAACCAATGGAAAGCTTTCATTAGTAATAAAAACAAGGAATCAAGAAGTACAAGATCGAAGAGTTCAAATATGTAGATCATTTAATCACACACAAGTAGTTTCTGGTACAGCTCTCCTGAGAGGGCTAGTTCCATGACAGCCATAGGATCAATGATTCCACCATTTTCCAAGAACAATTTTGCCAAGTTCTTGGAAAACCCACTAACAAGAGCCATGCCACTTTGATTTGCTGTAACAGGCGTATCAGAAGAGTTTCTCAGGTTCCAAAACACAATCTCTAGGCATTTTAGTGAAACCTTTCTCCCTAAATTTCCTCACTATAGCTTCATAATCAGTCTTCCATCCTTTCAAGAAACGTTGTCTCTGTTTCTCTATTTTCATTTCCATTTCTCCTCCAGATCGTTCTGAGACATAAAATCATACTCTATATCACTATCCATATCTGAACAATCACTCTCCGTACAGGAGTCATACATATAGCGACTTTTGTATGCTTTATGAAACTCCATGCCGCTAAAAACAAAAATCCTCTTTATCATCCAATCCTCTTGTAGCCCTCCATCAACAGCAACTTTCAGAATTCTATCAAAAACCTCTTGGAGATCTGCATTGGTACCCGCTTTCATTTTCTTTATAAACTTGGTCTTCTCCCGGAGGCTATCCCCTTTTGATGGAGTGAATTTGAGGATTTCCACTGAATGCGGTAACTTTGCCCTTCCATGGTTCCTC